TTTTTTTGGGTTGTTGGGTTTATTAGGGGGTTTTTTTTTGTTTTTTTTCAAAAAAAATTTTTTTTTTTTGGTTTTTATTTTTTATTACAAAACCTTTTTTTGGCCCGGGGTTTCCTTATTGCAACGGAGGGGGGGAAGCAAAAAACTTTTTTTTTTTTTTTTTTTTTTGTGTTAAAACCCCCCCCTGGGCTAGTTTGAAAATGCAAAACCAAAAAACACGGGGGTGCACCCGGAATTAAGGGTTTTTTTTGACGCCCAAGTTTCCAGGGTGTGGCTTCCCCTCCCGTTTTTCCATTTGGTTTGTCCGTTTCATGATCCAATTTCCCGGTTTAAACCTTAACCCCCCCAGGGGGGTTTAACTTTTTTTTTTTGACCCCGCTTTTTTTTTGAAGTAAGGGGTTTTAGCCCCCTCCTCCCCTTTGGGGGTGGGGAAAACAATTTTGGGTCCCTTTTGGAAAAGTGGGGGGGAAAGGTTTGCCCCTGGGGGTTGGGGTTGGGGGGTACAATGTTCCTTCCTTTGGGGGACGGGTGGCAAAGGGTCAAACCCTTGGGGGGGGTAAAACATTGGGCCCCCCCCCCCCCCCCCCCTTCCCACTACGTCTCCGTCCCTTCCTTTCTCATCTTCTCTGTGTGTCTGCCTATCTCCCTTTCTCTCGCATCTGGCTTACCAGAACCCTCTGACCGGCGCTACAGCGGCCCTTCATGTCCAAGGTGGCATCGTTCTTGCGCATCACCACCCGGTAGTTGTAGGACCTGGGAATGTACGAGGTCGGAGTGCAAAAATATGACAACGCAGAACAACAACAAAAAAAGTCCCGTGTTGCAGCAGCGGGCGCATGGCTATAAAACCCTCGCGTGTGGCTTCACACCGAACTAGGTTCCGCTTGCGGATAGTTCCAAAGGCAGCAACAGCAACAACAACGCAAGCGCCCCCCCTTCCGCCGAGAGCGCGCTTTCCGCTAGTACGTGAACACTGGTGCCGCACACAATTTTTCGGAGACGAGACGAGACGAGACACAGAAGTACGCCTTCACTCAGCTTCCCATCAAATCCCATAGAGCGAGGCGGTAACCCGGTTTTTCAGCGCTGCCGTCGTCCCCGTGAAATATGACCACCACATAGGTGACACAAGATAGCACACCTCTGGACCGATATTCTCAAAGCTCGGCTACAGCACTCCACGACGAAGATGATGCCACAGTCAAAATAGTGCGTCTTCGGAAAGCTCTCGACAAGGACGGTTCCAACGTCGCCATTTTTGGGACCGCAACTCTTTCTGCTGTCGAGTAATCCAGCTTTGTCCACGGGGTGTGCTGTCTCGTGCCGCCACTCTTTATGCTGTCGAGCAATCCAGCTTTGTCCAGGGGGTGTGCTATCTCGTGTCACCTACGGTATGCTAATCGAAAAAGCCGCCTCTCGCAACCAAGTACGCACATGCTGCGCCCTTTGTGTGCGTGGAAACCGTAAACCTCTCTCTCACCGCTTGGCCTTGCCGCTGTCCTCGTCGTCCCCAGAGACGATCTCGATCATGTCGATGTCCTCGCCGGAGTAGGTCATGGCCCAGAGCTCCCGGATGATCTTGTTGATGTCGGCGATCTTCATCGTGTGGAATCGGAGCAGCGCCTGTCGCGCACACGTGTGAAACGAACACAAAACAAAACAAGCGAATGCGGCAAGGAGGGTGTAAAAAATAAAACACACGTGCACACGAATGGGTGCTTGTACAGCTGGCCACACGAACAAGGGGGGTGTACTGATGTAAATGCATGCCGTGGTTGGTAGACCATAGACCTCGCATGCCTACAATGCCGGAACAGAGCGAGCGACGGGGTGATCAAGGAGTATTCTTGAACTTCGCGACAACTCTCAGTCATGAAAAAAACACAAAAAACAGCAAGAAGGGCCGCAATGCCAACGGGGTAAGCGCTTGGCCACGACAACTACAGAAGACACAACAACAACAACAACAACGACAACAACGACCACACCAACAACAACAACACCACCACCAACAACAACAACAACAACGACAACGACAACGACAACGACAACAACGACTACTACCTTGTCGAGAGCGGTCCAGTACTTGTCAAGGTCCGTCACCGCCATCTCGGTGGTGCGGTGCTCGATCATCTTCCGACGGTGCTTCTCCTCGATGTTCCTGTACGTGTCCGAGTTAAGCTTCGCCTCGTACCCTCGGATCTGTCCCTTCAACCCGTGCAGCCGGCCCTTGAGCTCGGCGCGCGTCTGCGTCTTGCCTAGCCTCTCCTCTTCGATATCTTCCATTTTCCTGAGGAGAAACAAACAAACAAAAAAAAAGAAAAAAGAATTGGATTTTCCTGGGGAGAAAACAAAAAAAATATAAAAAAGAGAGAGAGGGAGAGAAGACAAATGGTACCGCCAGCACAACAAAGGCTGCGGGTGTCTCAGAAAAGTAAGAGAAAGCACCAGGTTGCATGCGTGCACACGAAAACAATCGTGTCGCAGGCTTAATTGTATATGATCTGATACGTCCGTTCCGAGGACCATTAAAGTCGGGGGACTGCTTCCAAGACACCCGGGTCTTCCGCATGCCGCGTTCCGCCATCGTCATCGGCAGACGCACCGCCCGCCCCATCTTCTTGACTAAAACATACACGCGCGCACACAGCTTCCCAGACACAACGACCAATGACGTTGTGCAAAATACTACAGCAGCCCGATATATCGACGGTCCCGAACAGCGCGGTTCCCCATATATCGCGGGAAAAAATCCTTGGCACAAACAACCTAGCCTACTACTGAAGTACTAAATTACTGGACCTTCCCCCAAAAAGCTGGTCCCGATGTAATGCAGTGATTTTTGTCTGCCACTGCACCGCGATATATCGGGACCACTAATGCTGTACCACGTACCCTCGGACGTTCTCGCTGTCGGTCTTCGAGATTTCCTTTTCCACATCGGCCACCTCCTTCTTCTTCTCCTTCAACTCCCTGATTGGAAGGGAGTCGGCAAAAGAAGAGCCACGGCCATATAAGCAGGGACCACGAAGATCAGGATAAGACAAAAAACGAAAAATTCGGTACAACGTCAGAATGCGTTGTAATAGCAATTTTGGTTTATTTCAAAAGACGCAAGAGGGCGGCTTGCGTTAACCCGGAACAGGCCCGTTTCTTTTCGAAGAAAAATAAAAAAACGAGGGGTTTATCGCGCATTGGCAATCGAGATCACTCACACACAGCAAAAACAAAGAGAGTTGGAGAAAATATGCATGTATTGTAGGCCAACGAAAACACGCTTCTAATTTCGTCAAGAACAAGTGATTCATTTCCCTTAAGCGCACTGAAAGGCGCTGCAGCGCGTGAACACAAACCGCAACTTACTATTCATCGAGCAGCACGTTTGTTGCGGTAAAGGTAACATATTGCAAAGGAAGACAAAGAAAAAAAAAAAAATATATATATATATATATATATGGGGGGGGTATCTATGCCTTTTAAGGGCGCGGTAGTCGATGTTGTCCTTGAGGATCTTCTTGTGGTGGCCCTGCTTGTCCGACATCAGAACCTTCCCCTGCATCGTCCTCTGCCAATACCGAAAACAAAGCGAACGAAAACAAAGGGAGGCGTGAAGAAAAATGAGGGGGGTCACAATATTGTGCGGTGTGCGCGACCGCGGACAAGGGGGAATGGTGAACGGGTGTGATGGCAGACTTGGCAAGCACATGGAAAAACGACTCTCCGGCGCACCACCTACTGCGGTAGCTTCTCCGCCTCCTCCGCAGTCTAAAGTACGCACAAAATAAGAAAAAAACTATTTTACGCCCGCCCCGGCGGTGTTCCGTGTCCAAAAAGAAACGTGACCAAAGAGGTTCGCTTCAATCATGTTTACCCCTCCCCCTCCACAAAAAAACAGGAGCTACTCTCCCCCCCCCCCCCCCCACACACACACACACACCAAAACGGCACATCATGATCAATTACATCGTGCTCCCTCGCGCCCGCCTCGTTCTCCGCGACGGTGGTCTCGGCCTCCTGCAGCCTGGCCCTGATGGACTCGAGGGCGTCGGGAAGGTTCTTGGAGATGCCGGCTTCCACGTCCCGCTGGGCTCCCGAGAACGCCCTCACGTCCGTCCGGCACGTCTGCGCGGTGGTTCGGAGGCGATTCTCGGCTGCCCTCGCCTTGTCTCTGGCCCTGTAGACGGGGGTGGGGTGTAGACTCATGTAAGCGCATGCCGTTGTACTTAGACCATGACCCCGCATTCCTACAATGCCGGGACGGAGTGATATGCCGGGTTTTCGCCATGGGGGGGCGTACTCTCATGTTTTGCATGCCTTAGCGGTTAGACCATTGACCACGCGCCCTCGAGAGGACGGAGCATTGTTCCCACAGGACCGATCACCGATGGCCAATGGTTCCTTCCTACTTTGCCAAAGGTGGCTCAATAATATCTTCCCTAGTCTATCTACCCTACCGATATCAATTCTACCCTTCCCGCCTTTTCAACCCGCTTCCTACGCCCCAGTACAGCTAACGTCTTCTCCTGGCTATTCGCCATGGCGGGGTGACGTACTCATGTTTTGCATGCCTGAGCTGTGAGGCCATCGACCACGCGTCCTCGGCGACGCGGGAGGGGGTCTCTCAAACGCGCATCATCCACTTTTCCAGAAATCGGAAAATAAACTTTGTGTCTCTCTCTTTACCAAGATCAAACCTATCGATGGGAAACACGTGCCAGGCTACATAGGTTTTTACACTCAATTCATTATTGTGTCTGGGGAGTCCTCTTTTTTCGCCCCCGAGAGTGCTCTCAGAGACCATCGTGAGGTTTGAAAGGTAGCAATCCTGCTTTGACTCAACGGTATGAGTTCATGGCAGAGCTGTACAAAGCAATCTAAATGTGCACCGGCGACGAAGGACAACATTTTACAGGGAAACAGAAAACCAAGTGACCCCCTCTGATGACGCTCGAAAACAATAACAAAGCCCGGTGCTTGCACAGCACACACCTCTATCCCAAGAGGTAGGAGTTAGACGTCGTGCAAACCTCTGCAGCGCCTCGTGTAGCTAACATAGTTTCGTGCATCTCGTCAACGCCAAAACAACGTGACCCCCCTCCCTCCAAAACATCACACATAAAGACTTAACTGGTCAACTTCCATTTCCATGTCCTAACGTTGCCTACTCCCCCAACCTTTTGTTTGTCTGTGGCGTGTGGTGAAAATAATGTTCCACCAAAGCAAGAGGGTAGAAAAAAACAGGTGCAGACACCTTGGCCTTCTGAGTCGCACGCCCAAGCAACAACCAGTGTCCATGACCCTCGTCGTTAAAAGGCAAGGAGTACCTGTTGTTCTGCTTGATCTTCTCCTGGACCTGCTGGCGCAAGGGCTGCTCCTTGGCCTTGAGATCCCTGAGCTCTACCTCCAGCGATCTCTCTCGTTCGCGAAGCATCTGTAGAGTATCGCGCGAGAGAGAGAGCGGCGAGCGAGGTTGGCACACAATACACACAAGGGGTAGAGTAGAGAACAGCAGCCAGCCCATCAAACCCCGCTCCTTGTTGAAGCATCAATTTAGAGATGTGTTACGCCAACGAAGGGGGGGGGGGGGGGAGGGAGGAA